TACTGACTAGAGTTAGAGAGGAAATCATCAGCCATAATAAAAACTATTATTTTTATGATAAAATAGAATTGGGATATCATCTATATAATTAATACGCGAACACGAAGTTTGTCGGTTGAACTCCTCCGCCATTTCTTAACTGATTTTATCCATTGATGTCTCATTAGAAAGAGCGTGTTGCGTAGATTTGCAAACTGGCCTTACATTTTTGAAATAGTCCCTTGGGCTCTGCACCAGTGGCTTTTAAAGTTTCCCAGGTTATCCTTATGAAGAACATAATTGTTTACATTTTGATCAGCTGTATAATTTAATTCCTGTTATTTATTTTTCAATTCAACAAAACGCATTTGGTACATTTACTGATTTTGTTGAAATTAAATATTTACTATTTTAATTTACATTCTAATATATTATATATAACAAATCTAGAAACCCTGGCCAATTGATATATTTTAACAAATAAGAAAAATGAATTGACAGGGTACTGTAATTCTTGAGCAATCATTGAAAGAACCGATTTTTTAGCCATGGAAACATAAGAAAGAAGTAGAACGCCACCAAGAAGAAGAAATAGAGATTTTTTAAAAATACTATCGTATCATCCTATATAATGAAGAACACCTACAATATGAAGATTCACACAAACAATGAACAAGGATGTTAGCCGAAGTGCTACTATTTTGTAGGAAACACGGACTTATGATGATTGGAAAAACCCCCTCTAAGGCCGAATTTTAATGGAAAGGCAAGGGCATTAAATATATGTTATCATAAAAGTCAAGTGATTTGAAAATAATATTACTACATCCAATAAAACTTTCATTGAAGGGTTCGCATTATTCACACTATTATTCACTTTCAAGGTAAACAAAAAACCATTTGAACATTAGGCCTTTCAATTCTGCATTTTTCAGGTAAATATAATTTACTTTATAACAGTAACTAGCCAAATTAATGCCAATTGAAGCAAATAAAATTGTGACAGAGAGGTTATACAGAAAATCAGGCAGTTCTTAAGTAATGTAAACAAAGTTTTATCGCAATGAAAAATGACTGAAATTTTTAAACGTACTGGCGACACTGGGTAGTAGTGATGTGTCAAAACCGAATCTCAAATCTCAAAACCATCAAAACTTAAGAAAAGTTTCGGTTTCGAGATTCGATCACCAATTTTTCGAGATTCGATCACCAAGTTTCGAGATTCAAAAGTTTCGAAATTCAAGATTTTAGCAGTTTTATTTTTGAAACTGCTGACATTTATTTGTGACATTGTTATTGTTTTTAACACTGTTTCCAAACAAGCTGGTAGCAACAGAGCAAGGCCCCACTAGAAAAAGCAGGCCATGCTGCAGGATCCATGACGTCACACTAGTGGATAGATTTCATTGATAAATTCATTGCCATCACCATTACCATATGTTTTAGGTAAATAAACAAGCTGGCTGTTTGTAAGATTTTAATGGCAAGAGTTTAGTACACCCATCCACCACTGTGACTTAGTGTTGCGCTATCCACGCTGCAGCATGGCCTGTTTTTTCTAGTGGGGCCTTGAACAGAGCAAACATCACCATTAATAGTAATGAAACAAGTAAATTTTATTCTGAACTTCAAAATAGGTACTCTTATTAACCTGAAGGTAAATAGGTACTCTAACTGGTACAGTTCAGTTTCACATCAATATTTACTAAACACAAAGAAATATTGAACCACTACATGTTCTAATTAATCTAATATTCATGTTTTGTTTCTTGTTAGAAGTTTAATTTATTTTTTTTGTTGGTTGTTTATAAAAAATTATGTTGTATTAGGTTTTAAGATTATCAGTCACATTCACATACTGTATTTTATGTTATGTCATGGTCAGGAGTAGTCGATCTCTTTCAGTTTTGATTGCATACTTAAAATTTTATGATTGTGTATTTTTTGTAACCTTGACCTTTGTAACCAGCTAAGTAAAAAAGTTTCGCGTTTAGGTTTTGAGATTCGAGATTCGGGATTCGATTTTTTAAAGTTTCGGTTTCGGTTTTGAGATTCGAAATTTCTGGTTTTGACCATCACTACTGGGTAGTACCATGCTGACTACATTATCATTGACGAAGATCAACATGAACAACATAATGTGGCTACAAGTGGAAAAACATTTTAGAATACACTAAAAACCATATAAGCTTTTGAAAAATGATCAAATATTTATCATCAATTATCATCATTAGAGCTTACAAGAGATATTGGCCTTTCTTACTTAGATTTACATTTTTTTTAACCGACAGTTCAGAAGACGGGGCACGGAAGCTGCGTGACGTTGGTCACACTGACAAAGCGAAGTAAGCGGCAGGCAGGTTGCCATTATAGATACTAAAAAAGTCCCACACGCCCCTGCTCGCCCCTGCTCGCCCCTCCACGGAACTCTCCAGCAACTCCTGAACATGAAAGGATCCATAATGTCATATGGGTTCAAGTTATGACAAAATGTTACAGGGCCACTCTTGTAATAATTATTACGGAAAATCGAAAAAGGATTGTGATAAAACTCAAGAGTTCTTGGAAGTACTTGAGTACAACAATTATTGTCGTGATAAAATATTAATGGATTTTGGACTGCTAATGGTTTTTTATTGCATCACTACCCTAGTAATAAATTATGAAGATCTAAACAAACATCTGATAAGCCTTTTATGTGCTAGGATCCAACTGCGTTGACTACGATAGTAAACTGATAGTAGTTTATTATTATAATAGGTTGTACCGAACTGAGTTTGTACCGCGTAAAATGCTGTACCGAACCGAACCATGACGGTAATTAAGCTTGTACCGTACGACTTTTTCGGTGCACCGCAGACCCCTAATACTAATCAATATTTACTTTTGAAAACCTCACCTCAAAACTTTGGACGCCCACGGTACGTAACCCGAGGTGAACTCAGGGAAGTGAATCGGTCTAAGACATTCCTAGTAATGTGGACCATCTATGTGCTTTACTTTTGGCTATATCAGTTTTGGACGTTACAGCGAGACAGACAGACAGATACCACCTAAATTTTATGATAGTATAGATAGAATTTTTTCAGCTGTTTTAACTAATTAAGTTGGTACTATGATATTCAATAGCATTAAAATAGCAGCACTATTAAATTGTTTGCATTTATGAGATCAGCTCATTTGAACCATTGAGTATAAACATAACTGTTATGTTTATACTCAATGTTTGAACTAAGCAGCAACAAAAACCTGTGATACATAATGAGAACTGCCAAAGTAAGATTGTTACAAGTTATGTTTATGTTTTTAATTTAACAAATCATTTGTGATATTGTGCAACCTGTTTTGATTATGTGATGATTTACTTTTAGCGAATTTCCCATGTAGGGAATAATATATTTTCTATTGTTTAGGTGCAGTGGTAGAACATTATGGCTATGGTGGATGTGTTATGCTATAGCATACTGTAAATTTAAACAACCGTTACATCCTCCTCCATTGCAAACGCAAAGCACAAGAGTATAACTTTAATTAGTATTATATACTTATACACCAACTCCATACGAAGGATATGTACTCTGCTAGTTATCATAATCTTACTAATATTATAAATGTGAAAGTTTGTGTGTTTGTTTGTTTGAAGTTCAATCACGCATAAAACCACTGGACGGATTGGGCTGAAATTTGGCATGATGATAGCTCACATTCCCGATTAACATATAGGCATATTCTTATCTCAAAAATCCTTCCAGGCTCTGCCCCAGTGGCTCTGTAGTTCCCCATGTTAACCTTATGAGTATTCATATTTAATGGAAATTGAAGAATTTAGTCAGCTGTTTCAACTAAAAAAGTTGGTTGTATGATATACAAAAGCACTATAAAGTTATAAGATTTACCAGCAGGGTGCAGCACTATAACTTTTTTTGCATTTATGTAAACAGGTAATTTGAACTAAGCAGCAAAAAAAAACTGATACGCAATGAGAACTGTCAAAATAGGATTGTTTAGAGTTATGTTTATGTTTTTATTGTCATGAATAATTTGTGATTCTTGCGAATTTTTTTATAATTTATTTTTCTTCATTGTTTAGATGAAGTCGTAGAACATTTTGGCTATGGTAGATGTGTTATACCGTCAATTTAAAGAAGCAAGTTTTATCAAACTTTGTAAAACCTCCCCCATTGCAAAACGCAAAGCTTGAGTATACTGCAATAAGCATTTTAAACTTATATGCCAGCCCTGTACCAAGGACGGGTACTCTGCTAGTAATTAGTAATATTATAAATGTGAAAGTTAGTGTGTTTGTTTATTTGGAACTCAATCAGGCATTACTAATGGACAAATTGGGCTGTAATTTGGCATCATTATATCTCATGTTCCCGATTAACATATAGGCCTATTCTTATCTCAAAAATCCTCTCGGGCTATTTTTTTAGTGCATAATTTATCAACTTATTTAATGTATTTGTTTATGTTTATAAAGAAAAATTGTGTTTGTATATTCGTTTTCCCCCAAAATAATGTCTGGTAAACGGAGTAGCCTGTTAATACTTTGGATCTCTGATCAAGTCCGTAACCTAGATAGAAGGAAAGGAAATATATATTGTTGATGTAAAAGTTTGGAGTAAATACCATGCCCATAACGTGAAAACTACTTGACCAATTGAGAAGATATTTTCCATGAAAAGAGCCAATATACTACAGGAATAATAGACATAGTACTGTCCTAGGGTAGGGCTCTGCCTTGACGGCTCGCAATGCTATTCTTAATGAATACACTTAATATTAGAATTGTGTAATTGATACGGAGGATTTGTTTGAAAAGGATTTGGATGGTGCTTTGTGTAAATTGTGTACATTTATTCTTGAGTTAATAACTTTTCATACAGCAGATCTATAGAACACAATTATTCTCTTTAGCGTTCTTTTCCCGTTGCTAAGCAAGGGTATGGCGGCTAGTTGAGTAATTTGAGATTAACACAAATATTTACATGGAAGCATGATTTCTAATCATTTTTTAGGGTGAAATCAATGAAGACACTGGTTGCTCCGCTATCCCGATAGTTGCCACACTGAAAAACCTGGCTAGACACAATTCTACAATACGGCAAAGTTTAAGTCAACACGAGCAGTTCATACTGCATTTAATAAAAGGTAATTTTTACAAAATTGAAAAAAAAAAAAAAATAGTTTCAGTTACAAGCTCAAGTAGCTCTAAAAGGGCTGCAAAATGCATGATTTTAACCTCATCCACTACCAATGTAAAAATACCCCCGCCGCAGCAAACCTGCAGACTAAGCAAATTTCCATTTGCCTGATTGGATTTACACTAAATTGTCTCCTTAAAAATATCACATTTATTCCCTATAAAGAACATTAGTTTAACGAGTACTTAGGTTTGCTGCAACGGGGAGGGTAAAAGTGTTTTTTTATGTAAAATGTTAATAGTTAGTAAGAAGTAAAAACATTTTCCAAATTTGGGCAAAATATGTTGTTAATAAACAAGCAAACTACAACAGTTTACTTATTCTCCATAAGAATAACATGAGAATTTTGAATTTACAATTTTTTGGAATTTTCTCCGTAACCATTAGGCGCATTATAACGCTTCAATATAACTAGATTATTTGTTTTTTTAAGCTCTACAAAATTGTTTGGGAAGAAATTGCAAAATGTTATGTTCTTTTGGTCAAAAATGGGAAAAAACCCATTTTTACCCCATAAAAGCCCCCATAAAGCCCCGTTCCCATGGTCCAATCACGCTGGTTCGCAAACTGGTTCGAATAAACATAGGTTTACAGTTACACGTTTTTTACCAAATTTCATCAAAATCGGATCATTTTTGCTCGAGTTATCGCGCTAACAGACACACATATATATATATAAATCTTACTAATATTATAAATGTGAAAGTTTGTGTGTTTGTTTGTTTGTTTGTTTGTGTGTTTGAAGTTCAATCACACTGGACGGATTGGGCTGAAATTTGGCATGACGATAGCTTACATTCCCGATTAACATATAGGCACATTCTTATCTCAAAAATCCTTTCGGGCTCCACCCCAGTGGCTCTGTAATTCCCCATATTAACCTTATGAGTATTCATATTTAAAGGGAATTAAAGAATTTAGTCAGCTGTTTCAACTAAAAAAAGTTGGTTCTATGATATGGAAAAGCATTAAAAAGTTATATGATTTACCAACAGGGTGCAGCACTATATTTTTTTTTGCATTTATGAAAACAGCTAATTTGAACTAAGCACCAACAAAAACTGTGATTCGCAATGAGAACTGTCAAAGTAGGATTGTTTACAGTTGTGTTTATGTTTTTCATTTCATGAATAATTTGTGATATTTTGCGAATTGTTGATCATTTATTTTTCTCTATTGTTTAGGTGAAGTGGTAGAACATTATGGCTATGGTAGATGTGTAATACTATAGAATACTGTAAATTTAAAAAAGCAAATTGTATCAAACTGTGTCCTCCCTTATTGCAAACGCAAAGCTTGAGTATAACTGCAATAAGCATTTTATACTTATATTCCAACCCCGTACGAAGGACGGGTACTCTGCTAGTATATATATATATATATAAATATATATATACATGAATTTGAACGGATGGTCCAGGTCTTACCACGAGTACTACGGTAATAGCTTATTCCCTATATGGGAAATTCGCTAAAAGTTCCATTGTATGTAAAAAAGTGTATTCTTTTTAAGGGTCGAGCTAACTAGTTTTTGGCTCTGCTTATATAATCAGACTATGAACTGAGTTGTAACAAAATATTGTTAAATTGAGAGTATCACTTGTGTTTGTTTTTGTACAGGCATGTTCCAGTTGTCTGAGTGGAGGCTACAGAGAGATGGAGCTCAGTTGCTAGCTCTGCTGGTGTATGCAGACTATGTACTGAGCTGCCCAGCTTCTGTTTCATTGCCTCACCTAATCACACAGACTTTGCACCTACCCTGGCTCTGCCAGTCTCATTGGGCTGTCAGCCCCCACAGCACACCCTCCCTCAGAGGTTGGTCAGAGTTTCATGTTTGTTTAGCCCACTTATCCATAATATCTGTTAATTGGACAGTTTTTAAAATACTGTCTAATGTTGACTAAGTGTTACATTTTCCTTCACTAAGGATTGCTTTGCTTTACATCAAGATACCCTATGACAGATGTATACAATCTGTCTCTGTATAGAGTGAAGCTCATTGTGTTTAAGTTTAAAGGCATGCCTGTTCATCGTCCCCAACGTAATCACAATTCTTGACCTAGACTTGTTTAGTGACTATAGTCTGCTAGGTGTGGTGCTGGGGGAAATGGGAGCGGAGAGGTTGTTGTCCACATACTGGGCTGTCCTCACTGTGGGACTGGACCATCTACTGGAGCTGTCTCATGTCACTGAAAACAATACTCCAATGGCTCTGTCACAACGTACACTGCGACAGTTGCAGGTTATTAATGTTGAAATTTACTGCTTTTCTATTTTTAAATTTTCTATTGTTACCGGTACCTGATCAAAGAAGTAAAAACTGTTAATATTGGGGTGTTTTTTACTTTCTTCCCCTATACCTAATATATGGAGAAAGTATTGTTTCCGTAACAATTTTAGAGATTGAGTTTTGAGTGGATATAGCTGTTTGCCTTTGCCCCCTGAACCCAAACAAGGGGTTTTTGAAGTGATGCCTGTGTGTGTGTGTGTGTCTGTATGTGTGGATGTGTACATAGCTACAGACCACACCTGTAGTCTGATTTTGATGAAATTTGGTATGTAGGTACTAATCCCTGATATCTCCAGGCATTTTTTAATTTTTTTGAAATTTTGATCATTAATGGTTATTTTCCCATAAAATAACTGAAAAATCTAATTTTACCAAAAATGGCCTGAACGATTTTTATAAAAATCTAGTATGTTATAGTCCTTAAAATTCTGAACAAAATCGTAAAAACCCCATTTCCGTCAAAATTACGGTTCAAAAGTTATTGTAACTTAGGCTATTTTCCCATAAAAAACCATAAAATAACAAAAATCTGATTTTAAGAAAAAAGTCTGTAATGATTAAAGTTAATGTGTTATGGTCCTTATAATTATAAACAAAACAGTGCTACCCCCCATTGTTGAAACAATTACAGTTCAAAAGTTATCGCAACGTTTGTGGTTTTCTCTATCTAATATCATAGTTACTCCCACCGCTTACTCATGATAAAGGTTGTTGACAAGCTAATGGTAGAAAGTATATTTTACATTCTGTGTGGATTTTAATTTTCAATCCTTTTTTCATAATTTCTGTAAATAAATTGGTGATATTAGGTTGCTTGATAGTATGGCCATGAAATTTTACAGAGTTAATGGTTTGTTTTCTCATTTAATATCTTAATATTTTTTGCTTGTTCTGTGTCCAGCACAAAAATACAGACATTTAAAAAAATAGAACAGAAAACATATATTTCGGCTGTTATCAACAATAATGCTTTATTACAGGCGTCCAACATCCCTCATGGCTGTAGATGTTCTCTCTATTCGTTTCAAAATGCAACAACACACACTGCAGCTCTACAGGCCTTGGCAGAGCTTACCTCGTAAGATATTTTTATGGCTTCTCAGTATGATGTTTTGCAACATGTATATTTTGTAACGTTTGTTAGAGAATAAACTCTAAACAAACATATTATTACTAACTAAATTTCTGGTAATCTCAGTTTTAACAAAATTGTCTACTCAAAATTTAAAAAATTCCAAAAAATGTATTAACCTATTACAGTGATGTGATAACAATTCAACTAGATGTTCAATCCAAGAAGTCCAGGATTTAAGGATTTAAAATCCTGGTAGTGATAATTTTGAAAGAGAGAAAAGAATATGTTTTTGATTTGACATAATAATAAATTAAACAATTTTTCTTGACTACCTTGTTTTTGAAAGTTGACAAATAACCTTAATTTTTCTCAATAACTCCTAGGTTAGAATGTTTATTATTTGACAACTAACTGCTGTTTGATGACTAGATATCTAGAGATCAGTTGGCTCACAGAACCCTCCAATCTCGCATCCCTCCCATGGAAAAACACATTCAAGAGGTTTTTGCTGATCCCACCTTCAGGCCAAGATGACTTTAATCTTCTATTTTTGGTTCTGAAGTTTCTTCAATTTCTTTTAGGTATTTATTATTGTGTTAACTTATTATGCCATGTACAGTAAAATCATTAACATGTTAATTGTAAGATATATGTTTTTAAATAACTAATGATCAATGGAGGATGTGTTGATTCTTGGACATTGGTATTGTTATCGAGAAACGATCGTCAAAAGTCGATGCCGATATACCGATACCCGAAATATTGCTTGATCGATAAATAACCGCGATTGTGCATGACAACAATGATGTTTCCGTAACCGCAAAAAGATGATGATGATATCTACACCACCGTGGAAGATTATTAGTATTTTTCTATGATTGTAGAAGTCGATAATGATGCCTACATGGTCAGGGAAGATGATCAGAAATTTGCTGTGATCACAGAAGATGATGATGTTTCCGTAACTGCAGGAGATATTCAGGATTTTTCTGGGGCATCAGGAAATTATGGCAATGACTACACAACCGTGGGGAATTATAAAAAGTTTTGCTGCGGTCGCGGGAGACAATAAAGGTTCTATATGACTGGCGAGACGATAGTGATAACTATACAGCCACGGGAGATGATCAGAATTTTGCCACTCCCGCTGAAGACGATGATGATGTTTCTTTTACCGTGGAGGATAATCAGGAGTTTGCCTTGCCCGGTGAAGACGATGACAAAAAGAATAAAAAAGGGGGGTCTACCCGAAGGAGAGGAGATGATGATAATGAATGACTACAAGGCCACGGGATATGTTCAGGACTTTGTCCCGGTCGGGTAATACGATGATGATGTCTACACGACCACCGGAGATGAGGTAGAATAACGCTAGTCATGGGTCGCCTCATTTTACAACTAAAAATCACCTTTGACTGTTTGTTATTTGATATTTTTCAACTTAATTTCGTTTCATAGGAAATTTTAAATTCTAAATAAAAGTGTCCTTGACATTTTTCCTTAAAATTGCCCATTTTTGGTAGTTTAAGCTACAAAAACTTTAATGGCCACAATTTTGAAATTTCAAATTGGACTAACTTAATATATTTTCTATGATAGGTCTAGGTTTCTTCTACCTTAAATTCATAAGTATTATAATTTATAAAGATAATTTGGAAAATTGTTGAATAAAAATTTTTATGCAAAAAAAAAACAATTGATGATATCTGGTTAACAACACATTTTTGGGAAAATCTCATTCTTGATTTTCTCTTTATTTTGACCCATAAAACCATTTCTTGTAGTCTGGCCGTTTACTTACGGGACACCCTGTATAAATATAAACATAACATATATATTTTTTTCATAGTACTGTATATACATTAATATTCAAATCTATCTTAAGGGTAGTTTAAAGCTACAGTACGAAATTAGAATCCAAAAATCAATAATCTAAGTTCATCCATTTTGGATTTATAAAACAAAATATAACTGTGTTTTTTTTAGGCCTCTCCTTAAAATTCACCTAAATGGAGATACCACCTTTTGCTTGAGAGGCAACAAATTGATATGTTTACAATTTTGATCTGAAGGAAAAAGTCTGACTTAAAGACCCCTAGTTAATACTGTTAAAAATCAAGACTCCTTGTATTAAGGTATATTAACTGTGGTCTGTGGTATGTTTTGAATGTAGAAGTGAGCCCAGAGCAGAGTTTATGGGTCTCCGAGGCCCTGTTGTGTCCTCCTCACACACTGTTGCAACTCATCATGGTAGCCAACTCACCCAGCCACGACCAGGAGATGGTAAGCCATAAGTGCATTAGTATGTGAGGTCAAAACTGAAGCTCAGATCCAGCCAAACTCAGGAAAGATTCACATTTGAAATTTGCTTAGCCTAACTGGGTTTGAGATAAAATTTTGAATCTTAGGCTACCCTAACCTGAGTGGTTGTTCAATTCAGTAAGATTATTAGAATTTGGTGATTATTGTGTTAAATTTGTTTATTGATTGATTGTAGAAAAAATAAACCGATTAGGAATCTACCGTGGTGTTGTGCTGTGATTCTGATGTAGGCCTAAACAGTTTTGGAAATGAATTATAAACTAGGGTGGTCTGCCGTTCGTTACACTTTAGACGCATAAATGAGCGAAGCATTATTTAAAGATTGTCAATGGCTAAAGCAGCTAACGACCTACAATATGTTCCCTATCAACAGATTCTCCGTTTGTTTGTCCGTTATTATTTAAGTTCTAAAGAATGACCAATTTATCTGATAGTATGTGAACAAAATCATTGACTGGTAGTTGGTGTAGCGCTTCATCACTAATGGTTATGTCAAAATAGAATGGATTATTTGCCTTCAGCCAAATAAGTGCTTGCTGTAGTTTTTCACTTCGAACTTTGAAATCGATATGGCCAAAGACGCCTTGACGTTGGACAATGATGACTTTTAAGTTTTCGGGCAGTGTAGGTAAGACAGATGCTATGTCATTAATATCTTGCTCAACATTAATGATGTTACCTTTGTAGTGAAACTGGCCATCCTGACCATTTGCTTGTACTTTGTAAATGCGCATAGCGGGATGTACTCGTGCAATCAACATTTGTTCTACAATCGTCAGGTCAGTTAATTCTTTCGGGACACTTGACACATCCATATTATTTAACGCCGTGAATTTAGTTGCATTTGAACGACAACGCGAACAAATCGGTGATTGGTTTGAAGCTGTTAGCTGTTGGCGATGACAGTTAGTGCAAGTGTAAAATTTTAGTGCATCTAATTCATGTTGGAATTGATTAGCTAACTGCCTATCATTATCAGCTTCTTCCGCCACTGCTTCATCTGGTTCTTCTTGTTCACGACGCCACTCTCTTACAATATTTGCATTATTGGTGCGACGACCAATATTACGACGTGGCCTTTGAGGCATGCTCAAAACAAATATAGCAAAACTGTTACTTCCATTGATAAACTGTTACATTCCAACTTTAACCTAGGATGAAAGTAAACATTGAAATGTAAACAAAACAGTTACAAACAATTAACATATGTTTATCTTATTTAAATGAAACGAGATAAACCCATATGTCATAAACCCAATATAATTTTTCTTTCAACTTACATTAAAATAACAAGCGAAATTGCGTGACCCGTAAAATAAAATCCAGAAGGAAATTCGCAAATATTTTTTACCAAAACATTGTGCTCAGTATTCTTTAGCTGTTGGCCAAATTTCATATCAATTGGTCAAGCCATTACATTCTGATGCTCTTACAAAGAAGTTACAAAGTGAGGGAAAGTGAGCTTCGCTCAATTATTTTAAAAAATGATGAGAATTTAATTGAATTAAAGTAAATAGTAATCAATTAATGAATTAATTTTTTGTATTAGATTATTTTATGGTATTTTGATTTTATTTGTTACTATCTCTCCTCTCTGAATATATTGAGAAAGTATTTTTTTGTAAAAATTTTGGGGTTTGAGTTTTTGGTGGAAATGTCCATTTTGGGTCCCCCTGAACCCCAAAAAGTGGTTTTCAAAGTGTTGTTTGTGTGTATATGTGTGTGTGTGTGTGTGTGTTTAGTGTGCATCCTGGGATCCGTTGTATGGTGACACACCAACAAACATGAGATCTGTAGTGAGCTGACAGATATATCAGCTAACAGATGTTTTGAATAATTTTATTAAATTTGGTAAAATCATATTTAATGGAAATCTTTAGACCTTTATTTCAGGTATTTCTCCTGATATAAATTAAGTCTCCTTTTCCTAACTATACGAGGTTCTTTCCACTAAAGATCCATTGATGACGCTTGGATGAAACTGAGCTCTACCCAAAATACATTGGAGCTCTATTTACTGTTCATCTCCATAGAGTATGTGTGTAAGAGCTTTCAAAAACAAGTGGGATCCGCTTTAATTTCGCAGTAACTCATTGACATCAGTTCATCGATCTCAGCAGTCTGCGTCCATGCTGGCTTCTCGTTGTGAAAAGAAATCATTTCAGTGCTGTTGCGGTTACTGTTGCGAATCGGGGAATCGTGTGACGTCACACGGATTCTGCCACACGGTTTGGCCCACCTGTTCTATTCAACACGCCTTGATCTTAACCAACATAAAAAATATAGCCTATACAGTATGGCTGAAAAGTAACTACCTTCCCCTTTTTAACTTTTGTTGTTTAATAGTCTATATTTTATTTCTGTTTGAATCAACCATCTTGAATATGAGGGGCTACATTGTTGAGTGAACGATTATACATTTTTCGGACCTTTAACGTTAGTTCACAACCATTAAAATTATTATTGAAATTCCTTTTATTCGCAAAAACTTAACATCATACAGCACGCCACGAACATTAGTTTAATTATGCCTAATGTATTTTATATATGGAACAGTTTTCAAGGGATATTGAATTAATAGAAACAGAAAAGTGTAGTGGTGGCAAATTAACGGAAAATATCCAATATTTCTGTTTGAGGGGCTGCGGGAGAAGGTTCAACTTAACATTTTGAAATTAAAATCCCTCATTTGAAAGGTCTTAATGTCTTAATAAAAGAAAACAAATGGCAAAAACTAGAGTTATCTATCTCAACCCAGTAATAATTGGCGAACAATTGAAAAAAAAAACACTAAACGTTATTTTCTATTACAATGAGATAGAGACCTCTAGTTTTCACTGTTTGTTTTCTTTTATTAAGACAAGACCCTTAAAATGATGTGTTACTCAATGTGGCTGTACATTTAAAGATTATGGGGTATCCCAAAATGGGAAAGGGTAAAAATGTGTAAACAAGTTTTAATTTTCTGCCACTAGAAAAAATATGTTTTTCGATAGGATTATGGCATAGGAATTTCCTGGTCATACGAAATTTACCATAAAACAAAACTGTTTGAGTTATTCTTTTGTTTGGTACATAATTTAAAGATTTTTTTAAAATTTATTTAAACACTATAAAGGGTTAAACCAACGATTTTCTTCTATGAACACCCTGTAATTGAAAAAAAACCAAGTGAAATTAGTTAAAAATAAGCAAATAATTTAATAGATTTTTTGAAAATGGTAGTTTGACTCACACTAATTTTTCATCCATTTGTCTTTCTTTCATTTGAAGATGATTAAAATTACATGAAAAATTTATAAATTAGTTTCTCTAGCATGCTTATTGGCTGTAACGTTAATTCGACGACTGGAAAATTAGGCGTTGACTCAAGCAGGTAGTAAAGCGTCCTCACTACAGTAATTCTGCAGTATTTTGGGTCTTTGACCAGCGACTCACACCCCCAACAATAAGGGGCTAGGATCCAGGATCTCTCAAAACTATTCCTTGGATAGTTGTGATTTTATTATAGGGGGTTAACACGATGTTGAGGCCCACACATTTTGGTTACACACCAGAAGTTTCTACTTCAGAGTTGTTCTCAGTGAGAGATTTGCAGTGTCTAGTAGTAGATTATTTTAAATGTCTTGCTTTTAATCATCTTAAAATATATAAAAAATTGACTGACAATTATTAATGTGTGTCAAACTGCCACTTTCAAAAGACTATTAAATTACTCGTATTTGCTTGTTTTAACTAATTTAACAATACATATTTCCAGATACAGTGATTATTATTCAAATATCCCTATTAAAAAGGAAGAAAATACTTTGTTTCAAGATTTTAAAAATATTCATACGGTACTTATATTTCTTTATAAAGTCAACTTTGATCTCACTAATGATTGTAATGTAGCCGAGGTAAGTATTTTGATTATGCGGAGCGTATAAAAAAGAAATAAGAATGTTCTGATTTGGAACGTCTCTTTTTCAAACACTAATAAACATATAGTCTACAATTACTATTTCTTCCTACTCCTTCCTAAATGGGAAGGTCGCCATTTTATTTTAGGGGTGTGCAAAGCAGCAACAAATTTTCGATTCAAAGCAACGATTCGATTCAAAAGATTTTAGATTTGAATCGATGCTACTCAATTCAAAGCAATACGGAATTTTTTTCATAATTGTCAATGAAGTGAAATAACAATAATTAAAATTTACCACATTTGTGTAATGAACATTTTTGTTGATGTGTGGTATTAGGCCTATTCATACATATTGCATAGGCTTTCCAACAAGCTTACCCCCACCACCTTCAGATGATCTGTTGCTGAACTGTGCGAGGCAGAAAATAGATCGGTTTTACCACTCGTTTTACCGCACCCTGTAATTTTTTTTTAATTTTCAGTGGAAAAAGATTTGTCTTAACACTTTAGCAGTGTGCAAGAAATGTCTGCACTTCAATGTTGGCGGCAGTGATTGGCAAACGTTAGTAATGCTGGTTTTGCGCTGTCTCGGACAAAGTCATACTCAGGAATACTATAGTCTAGGTATGTTCTTGAGGTTTATTATTTTTTTTTTTTTTTTGAGAAAAGTGTTTTTTTTTATATTGGGATTAAATTACATTCCAACCAAGCTTTATTATGTAAAGTTCATCCTGGTAACTGCAAAAAAAGCAATATTTATCTGTGGATTTAAAATGTAATTGGAAAACAAGTCAGATGTTTATTAATTTGTCAACTGCATACACTTTATACAGGGTGGCTGAAAAGTAACTTACACCCCCCTTAACTTTTCAACAGCTTTGAAACATGCAAGCTGATGAGCAATATTAATCGTTGGACTATTTGACGGAGGTATGTAAAACCTATTATTGTCTTCTGATTTTTCTTCAATAAATTAGAGTTTTTTATTGAAACCTGAACTTAAAAGGCATGTCCTTTTCTTTATTAATATCTAAATATGTATGTATTCATTCATCACATCCAATGTCATCATGACTATAAACTAGGATCATAAATAAAGGGATAAACTAGGGCGCCATTGTTGTTATCTTCCATGGTTGCAGAGATATCATGGTTGAAAGAGCAGCCTACAATCAGTTAGTACATTTTTTTAGAAACCAATTGTTTGCATGATAAGGAACAACATGGATTTAGACCAAATAGATCAGTTATTACTGCTGGCATAGATTTCATTAATTCGGTAATTGACTCTGTGGATAAAGGAGAGAAAACAATAGGTATTTTCTTGGACCTGAGCAGAGCTTTTGATAGCGTCTCACACAAAATTCTTTTAAACAAAATCAAAGGCCTTGGAATCAATGGTAATACTTTAAATTGGATTAGCTCATACTTGGTTAATAGAAAACAATTTGTTGAAATAAAAAGTACCATTAATAATCAAACAGTCACCAGTCATTCTTCGCTAGCACAGATGCAGCATGGGGTCCCGCAAGGTTCTATCCTTGGACCTCTGTTGTTTCTGTGCTATCTAAAAGATATTCCACATTCTTTTCAAAATGGCTCAACAAAAACACTTTGTCTATATGCAGATGATGCAAGTTTCAAAATTAGTAGTAATACAATAAATAATTTGGAACATAGTTCTTCTTCAGCTTTATTGGGTATCCATAACTTTTTGAATAATCACAAACTATTATTAAATACAAGTAAAACCAATTTTATCATGTTCAATGCAGGAAGAAGTAAATATTCAGTAAATCCAGTAATAAAAATAAACAACCACTCTTTGGAAAAAGTTGTTTCTACCAAATTTTTAGGCTTAACATTGGATGAAAATTTATCATGGAATCTCCACATAGATCATGTAGTTAACAAAGTCACCTCTGCATTGTATGCTTTATATAGGATGTCTAATTTTTGCTCAGTAAATAAATTAAAAACCATTTATTTTTCTCTTATTGAATCAGCAATCAGTTATGGCATTGAAATCTATGGAGGTACATCAAAACAAAATTTGGATAGAATTCTTATTCTTCAAAAAAGGGCGATAAGATTCATAATGAATTTGAATTTTGGTGATTCGGTTCGTAAGCAATTTAACAGATTTGGGCATAATGACTGTTTACAGTTTATATGTTTTTCACACAGCACTTCATGCTAAAAAACTAAGTATAAACAATCTGGTTCCCAGGTTAGGTGACAGCCATTCCTATTTTACAAGAAATAGAAATCAAATTGCCATTGATTTCCACAGGCTAGAGTTTTATAATAAAAAAACATTAAATGCGGGTGCTAAGTTTTTACTACGGCTACCTGTGGAATTAAGAAACGTTAAAGATGTAAAACTGTTTAAGAAAAAATTAAAACTGCATTCGACAAATAAAACATTATATAAATTTGATGAACTCTGACAACCATACTTGTTGTTGTTTATGATCAACTTTTGTTTTAAATATGTACCTTATGGCTTATGGAGGAAATGTAAAGAAATTAATTTGTTAGCTGTAATTTAGCATAATGACGCCATTCGATGTATACCACTGTATATTATATGAATAAAGACATTTTCAATTCAATTCAATTCAATCATGGTCACAACCACCATAGCAGCCACATCATGAGCATCTCCTGCGATCCATCATGGTCACTTGTGATCTGGGCGAAATCCTGTTCCAAAATCACCAAATTAATGTTACTTTTAAATCACATGCTTTATGTTATTAGTAGGAAACTTTAAGACTTGGAATTAGTTTTAATTTTTAAAATGGGAGACTGAAAACCAACAACTATTTGCAACATTAAAACCTTTAATTCAAAGTCTTTGGCGAGGTAATATTTATTTGTAAAATTTTGTGGAGTTCACTAACCTTTATCTGGTGATATCAAGGACTCGTCATATACACTTAGACTTACACATCTCACACGCAATTGTCCTGGAGATCAAGTCTGATGCTTTTACGGAACCCGGACCTACGATTGTAATTTATAAGATGCCAACAGTGGTACAGTTAAAATTGAGACTTTCTGAAGTAATAATGATTTTTCATTGTTATTAGCCCTACTGGACAGCAAGCTGCAGGTGTTATTGGCAGCCCTGAGGTCCCGTCAGTCTGCTGACAGTGCTGCCAACCTGTGGCAACTGTTGACCGCGTTTCATTGTGAATCACCTCACAGCTTCATGGGAATCAGTATCACACGTAATACAGTACTCTGCCTCAACAAGATGTTAAGCCTTACTCAGGTATTTCAAAGGAAAAGAATTGCCTATGTACAACATTAAAGATATTTGTTGGAACTTAATTTTAACATGAACATGATTCCTGAGTAATTATTATCAACCCACTTAATTATTATTTCCCACTTCACAAACAGAATGCATATTTGAATTTGTTTGTTGTAGGACTGGGAGGGGGAGTGTGAGCCCAACATAAGGTGGCTGTTGCATGAGGGAGGACTGTGCTCCAGTGGTGATGTTGTCGTACGAGCTGCTGCCCTCAATCTCTTGTCAGGTCTGGCTTTGACACCTCGTGGAGCTGTTACACTGCTTGATACTTGCCCTGACATCATTCACTTTACCATGCGGTGAGCCAATGTACAGGCATGAATCTTGAGATTAATTAGCGATGGGTCGGTTTTTAAAGTCAATTTTAAGTTTTAATGGTTTTTAGCAAAATAACCGGAACTAAAAAATTATTGAAAATGTCGGCTGTTGTTTATTGTTTGTTGTCCTATGGTTTCACCATATTGTCTTCACAAACTCAGGGAAAGTACAAGATTTTTCTGCGATCATCAGCAACAATGATTATTTCTTTGGGAAAAACCATGCTTTTGCCGTGATTGGGGGGGACATAATATGATGTTTCCCTGATTGCAGAAGACTTTGTTGATGACAACAAGACTGCAGTAGATATACAGGATTTTGCCATGTTCACAGAAAACAATATAAAAATTAGTGATGGACGAGACTAGATTTTTCATTTCGAGACGAGACGAGATTGTTTTAATTCCGGCGGGACGGGATTTTTTTTGGGACGAGATTTAATGAAAAATTATTTTAAAAATGAATATCTACTTTTTAAGCTCAGAAACATTTACAAGTTTTAAAAACTTGGCAAAAAATAGACAAAAATATTTAAAATCTTTTATTAAAAAACATTAATAAAAACATCAGTACCTATATAAAAAAATATTAATAAGGCCTAACTTATTAAAAATAACTCTTCGGCATAGGAAACATGGAGATATCAGTTAGTATATAGTTCAACTTTGAAAAATATCAAAAACAACAGTATTACTACTTAACAAGTTATAAGTCTTGTGTTATTTTTAGAATGATTTTGGAGTGTCTTATTTTGGCTATTTTTACAGTAGTAAAACATGTCTCACACTGCATAAAACAATTGAAGCAATATTTCCATGTAAAGAAAAAATAATTAAATATGAACGCCTTCGCAAAGTTTTTTTTTTTTATTTTTAAATTTTTAATTTTGTTAAATTAATTTTTTATTATTTAAAATTTTTAAAACTTAAAATTTCTAAAAAATTTTAATTTGTTTAAATTTTAAACTAGTTGTGTGCCCGTTCTACGCACGGGGATCTTATCGTAGTCAGTTAAAACCTTCTTATATTAAGCACAGCAGTTGGTTTGCATACTTTCAGATATGCTGACAAAACTATTTTATATAAACCTTCGCAAATACAGTATCTGACAGTTTCAAGCCAAAACTAACGCTTCACAATTAAATGTCACCCGGATCTTGTTGGCCCATATGTCCAATGATTAAACTGAAAAATGCTTTATAGATCTATGAGGCATAGCCCTGAGGTAGGCCTATAATTGAAAGTTATTACTTTTCACAATGGTTAAAAGTATTTAAGGTACTACCTCAACCTCACAATTTAACACTTTATTCGGGTTGACATTTTCATTATCAAGGTGCTCTTGTCCTTTCCGTGAAACACTGAGAAATAAGGACATTAATGCATTACCAACAGACATACACAAAAAAATACAGAACTTAATTAGGGAATTTGTTACGCTTTAAGCATAACAAAGTACATATAAAATTAGTATTTGAAATCTTTGTTAATGTTATAAAATTATATGATAACAATTTATATTTGCTTGGACCGAAGATGACCCGAAACGCTGTCGAAATGCTATACGAATCGGCTGGCTATATGAAATGAAGTACTATAGACGATTTAGATTGGTAATTTAATTTATAATAAAAATTACCAAAATAGGCCACGGACTATTAATACATAAACGTTTAAAGCGTTTGAACAATTCATGATGGTTTGCTGAATAAATGTCTTACTAAAATGAAAATGCGTTATCGTTTTCTTAGCATAAACTAACATTTTGGAATCCAGACAGAAAAAGCAAAACTTATACAGTTAAGACATCAATTAAATTGATTACGCCTGTAATAAATAAGGTGCAACACCAACGATAACTAATATTGGTCAGAAGGGCCGTCGGCCAGGTTGGCAACACAGCAAAGTTACATTTACACTTAAAACAACCTCACACATATATATACCTATTATATACCAGTGCCCATCTGTACTGCCAGGCTTCTCTTAAGAAACCAGCCAATATCCGCCAATCCCTATTCCCTACCATTCAAATATTCTTCAAAATCAAATTTGCTTAAAAGAAGTGCATTAAAATATTTTTTTCCTTATATTACCTAATATTGGACAAACGGACACAAAGTGAAAAACGGATTCTATTTCATTCAGATTGCACAATGAACATGTGAAGATTTTATTAATCATCCAAGGTTTAAAATTAAAGTCAACAAGTTCTGCTCTCGCTTTAATACTCCAGGATATTACGCTAATATCAGATGTTTGGCACAATACATGTCTGTCGCCGAGGTCAAGGTCGAGGGTCAGATATTGTTGGTGATAGAGTGATGTACGGGCTCTGCCTAGACAGTCTGCCCGCCACCTCCCCCTCACCCCCTCAACCACACTCATCAGCTGTGACTGCAATCTGTCCAACCTGTCTGTTCTAAAATCTATTAAAATCCCACAATTGAGGCCTAACTCTCTCCATTCTCTGCTCCAGCCTATATTTTTGTCTACAATTTGTTCGGCTAAGATTTTTGTCAGGCGGTTTGGTTCTGTTCTAATGATAGATTCTTTAAAATGTAGTTTAAATTTTGACTCAAGGTGTAAAAGTATATTTTTTCTGATAGGGTCTCTAAATATATCACATAATTTGGTGTATTGTGAGGCAAACGGAACAATTTCCTGATATATTGTTTATGTATTGATTCGACATATTTTCTCTCCTTAAAGATACCTGTGCTCCGTAGCATACAATTGATTTTATAATGGAGTTGAAAATAATATATTTAGTGCTAATTGGTATCATTTTGTTGGTGATCAGGTTCCCCCACACAGCATTTAACGCTAAATTGGCTGTCCTGGCTTTCTCTTTAAAATGATGTTTCCATGATAATGTAGATGTAAACGTTATGCCTAGATATTTGTATTGATTGACTACTTCTATACGGTCTCCTTTATACCACCATATATTGTTTCCACTTAGCCTGCCTCCTTTTCTAAACACTATGACATTGGATTTGTTTAGGTTTACGACCAGATTCCACATGTCACAATAGTTTTTGAGTCTTTTAATCATGTTGTAGTCCTTGGGCTGTAGTTGACATGAGTACAATATCGTCTGCATACATTAGGATATTAACTCCAGACCCGCCAAAACTATACCCCCCTTCCAAGATATCTGGCAGATCATTTATGAACATTGAGAACATAAGAGGGCTCAGATTACATCCTCGTCTTAAACCGGCTGTGGTAGCAAACGACTCAGTGACACCTCCCTTGCACCACACACCCGCCACCGTGCCATCGTAATAATCTGATAAAATGTTTAACATTTTTGTCGACACTCCCAAACATGATAATTTATAAATCAGCGACTTTCTGTCAATTGTGTCGAAGGCAGATGAAAAATCCACAAAAAAGTAAAACAGTTTTTTGTTTCTATTAATACTGATTTCAATCATTGATGATAAATTAAATATATTGTCCGTAGTTGTATAATATTTTCTAAAACCAGCCTGAAACTCTCTCTGTCAACTCTGATCATGATAGTTGATGTTGATGTCCACATAATCATGGGGGAAACTTAGAATTTTGCTGTGATCGCAAAAGACAATGATGATGTCTAGACATGACTACTAAACATATTCAGGATTATGCAGAAGACGATGTTTACAAGACCGCGGGGGTGTTCTCGATTCTGCCGTGATCGCAGGCGATGTTAATGATATCTTCCCAAAACAATTACACACCGCGATGGCATGGGACAATTATAATATTTTTGTGATCTGAACTGAAAGACTATTTTGATGTAAGCAAGACCGCAGGAGATATTGAAGATTTTGCCGAGATTGCAGAAGATTGATTAGATACCTCTGTGTTTTACCCCATCATCATCAGTTTACTGGCAAAAATGGAGATAAGTGTTTGTAATCGAGTCGTGTAGCGAACTTTGGTTGAAGGACGACTGACTACCCGGGGCACTTCTTGAGCGGTTCTCTCCTAGCGCCCCTGGCGTCGGGGTTGAGAACTACGGTCATCCCCTCCATATGACGTCACTATGACCAGCGTTTGTGGCGGCCTTTTCGTGAAACAAATTTACGTATTTGGGATGACCGTTAAATATTACTCCATGTCAATTTTTGACCCGTTAAACGACAAGACCATTTATTTATCTATTTGTCGTATAAGTGGGGGGGGGGGGATTATTTAGAATAGTATTAGGGGAAGTAAATTATACGGTGCTGGTATCTGTCTTCATCTGTAGTCTGTCTTTGATCTGTCTTGCATGGCAGCAACTGGAGCTCAGAAAACCCTTGTATGTATAATTTACATGTTTATTTTTTCATATAGTGACATAAAAGGTTTTTTTGAGAAGGCGATAAATTACTAATCTACTAATAACAATGATTTAGTGATTTGACTGTTAAAATAAATGCAATTGTTTGTTACATATGATATATTTATATATTTTAGAACAGTAGTGGACCATTGTGAGGCCAGTGTTGTCCGTGAATATGCTGCTAAACTGTTGACAAACATCAACAAGCATTCCATTTGTAAGGTGAGTATGTTTACAACCTCTCAATTATTTTATGGCTTGTTACTTACTTTCCGTGTCCGGAAATCAGACTTCGCTTTTCCAAAAATTAGCTACCGATATAGCTTTGTCATTCGCTTGTAAAAGATCATCTAATGTGCAAGACTGGTCTAGGCGTGGATCGATCAGCAGATGGCCAGGATCCTGAACAGCACCACAGGCACACAAGATGTTTTCTTCGTCTGGTAAGAGAACCCATTTCTGCATGTTTGTCTTGAATTTGGTACCTCGACCCTGATCTGATTTAGGGTCTTCCACACCGTGTAATGCAGGCCTCCACCAGGAGCCAGTTCCTCCCTGGCTAGTATGGGAGGGTTAGTCAACGTGACCTCCCACCTTGACACGCGATTGCTTGAGAGTGATCCATCCAGGACTTGTGTCCGTGATAAAAAGCTCTTTCTGGACCGAAGCCGTCACTCTGCAGGTTGGTGGCCGTGTAATGGGTGACGAGGGTCAGTCTTTTGCTTAGTACTTTCCGCGTCGGCAGTGACATCTGGTCGGATTGATGGAGGGGCGATCCCTATGATAGGATAGAGTTTGTGCACTGGGGTTGGTTTCAAACACCCAGTTACAATCCGAGCCATGTCATTGACTGCAATGTCAACCTTTTTTGCACGTGACGATGCATTCCATATACTGGTGCAGCATACTCCGCAGCCGACACACTGAGCGCTAAAGCTGAGATTGGCTTGTTGATGGCTTATTGATGAAGTTTGTTAGTAAAAACTAAAAAAAAAATGTTAAAATGCCCTTCGATACTTTTAGAAATGATGCCAATAGAATAAAATAGTTTACAGTAAAGTATCATGAATCCTTAACAAAATAAATAACAACAAGGGGTTGGGAGTAGAACAGTAGGTGTTACTATGCAAAATTAAGGTCACTTGACTTAATTCAATTCTATTTTGTTCTATGTTAACAGTAGAATAAATAGTATTGCTACATAAGTGATGAAACAAATTACAGGTATTTTTTGCATTACTCGGACGGATAGTAGAAAGTGATATTTGATCTAAGTTTCACTATGCAGTATCTTTTTATGTGTCATGTTGGTGATGTTGTCAGAGCTCCTAAAAAGACAATTAACAAAATAATATCTTACAATTAGTATGTAAGCAGTACTTGCAGGATAGTAATTTCTCTTTGAGATGTGGCTAAAAGATAACAGAGCTGGTTTTCCAAGAGACAGTGCGAGCCCCAAGGCCAAAAATCATATAGCCGAGTCTCCTAACATTGTTCCTTCACATTCTATCCGATGCGACGACATTAGGTTGCTTGGTTAGGCCTTTGTTCGTTTCACATTACAGTAATTATTGTTTCACTGTAAAATTGTTTGTGAAGCTCGGTAAACGTGCAACAGAAACTTATTCTCCCTTACAAGGAGTATGGGGATTGATGTAAGTACACAGGTTTTTGAATGGCATAAGAATTTCAAAGAAGGGGGAGGATATGTGGAAGGTTATGCGCGCCCAGGACCTCTTTCAAAGGCAAAAACTTAGAAAAAATAAGCAATATCATCTGTCAAGATTATCTTAAGAGCATCCATGCAGTTAAAGAGACTGTAGGAATTGAAAAAGAATCAGTTAGATAAATATTATTGGAACATTTCAATATGAGAATAGTCTGTTCTATAATGGTGCCCAAAAACCGGTCGTCTGAACAAAAGCACTCCTCACAGATGGAAATATGTTCTGACACCTTGAAAAACAAAGAAATATGCTTAACTGTTAGAAAGAGTAATTACATGGAATAAATTTTGACCTATGACCCACAAACGAAGCGCCACTCAATACACTTTGCGTCCCAGTGCCGTAACACACAATTCATCAATACAATCCAATTTGTACTGTACCACCTGATCCTTTGCTTCAGTCTGTGAAGGGTTTAAAAAACGGCCAACCTCTTATAACAGTTTTTGATCAGCGTACTAAAGTTAGGCACGCCTAACACTAGGCGTGTACTAGCTGGGTTGCTCCCAAACTGCCTCAAAATGTATTTTTCTCAAATTTTTCCTGAAAAAAGTAGCCTACAACCAAACTATCAAAAAAATTAAGGCCTGTCAATAATTGTAGACAAGTTTATAAAAGTCTTTGAAGTTCCTTAACCCCTTAACCGCGGCCTATGTTGGCGCGCCGTGGTTTTGACACGATCAGTGGCGGGTGGTTTAATTAAGCTCGCCGATGGCCCAGCACGCGTTTTTCGTGGTTTTTTAACATTCTGAGGAAACCTAGTTTTAAAACGTATTTTAAAGCTATTAACTATGATAAATTTTATAATAAACAGTGTAACAGTATTAATGTTTGCGTAAATGATAATTTAATTTTAAAATTTTATAAATAATTAATAATAATAAACTAATAAATTACTAATAAAATGTTCATAATTACTTATGGGTTTTACTCTGTTGTCTGGTCACATGAGTGGATGTTTCAAGAAGTACTAAATATTGAAAAATATATATATACACTATGTACAAAGTTTACTTTACACTTTTAAGAAATTCTTCAGGGTATGATACTCCCTGAAGCACGGCACTACGCACAAGGAAACCGCACAGTCCTGGAACTGATACCGTGACTCCCGCCTGGCCGGTTCACGTTGCATAGTGTGACGGCAAACATAGCACTGACATGAGGGATACTCTTTTTTTCTGTTATAGATATGATGGAAAATGAAACTGTGTCAATCTCAGTGGTGTATCACTAGGGGAAGGACGACCACCGGTTTTTTGACTGTGGGTCTGAGCTGGCATGTTTTCCTTTAAAAGTTGGCAAACTAGCTCTAAATGAAATTCTGCCAGTGTTGGTTTCTTGCCACTTACACATAGGTAACTAACACCACCAATAATCCAGCATCTAGAATGACATTTTTCACCAAAACATACAGTGATTATCCAGCAAAATAGATTCATTAAAATTACTATCGATGATTTAAAACCTGAAATTATAATCTTGACAGAACACAAATTGACAATAGATCAGATAAATAGTTTTGTACTTAGTGGCTATAACACAGTTACGGTAGTTATTATGTTAGGAACAATAACCAAGGAGGTGGGGTTATGATAATGGTTTCAAATGTGATTAAATGCAAAAAGGTTACCAGTAAATGTGTGACAAATTAAATATTGAGAAAGTTTTTGAATTCTGTTCAATAGAAGTCAAAACAAATAATGCACACAAAATTTATTTTAGCTGGTATTTACAGAGCCTCGTCTAGGAATATTGATAGTTTTTTAGAACATTTAAATAAACTTTTACATTGCTTAGGAGATATTAATAATAATATTTGCGTTGGTGGTGATTTTAATATAGATATTTTGTCTGAAGATAACAGAAAAATAGATTTTGTTAATTTATTAAAATTGCAAACTGTACCAACTAGAGTTACAGATACAAGTGAAACAGTAATAGATAACTTTATTACTAACATTGACAAAGCCTATAGTGCTGTGTTTAGTAACTGCACTCTCAGATCATGATGGGCAATTGCTCACAATAAATACTATGGGTAAAGAAAAATCCAATAACCCTAAAATATTATTGGAATCAAAAAGGATTTTTAGCAAAAATAACAACAATAGTTTAATAAAAGATTTTGAATGTGAGAACTGGACACAACTTTACCAAACCCATATGTTGAAAAATTTACATTTTTTACAATATTAAAAGGTATTACTTTGATAAGAATTTTCCTGTGACTAATGATTGCACCAAACACAGATTTAGGAATTGGATGGATAGACAGATGAAAGAAGAAAGGCTAAACTTAATAAACGCTTGTAAAAACAAAAGGAAAAATAAAAACGTCAGAGTTGAATTGAACATAAATCATATCTGAGCGGTCTACAGAGCCCATGCTATATATAGTTATATTCTGGACACATTTTGGCTTCATAACCTTTTCTTTTGTTACGTAGTTCACTTTTCCGGATTCAACTACTTTATTGTCATGTTCTGTTGTGATCATCATAACTTCTCTTTTATCTGCCCACCTTACAACCATGCTCGTCCCATCATTGACAACCCCCCGTTCGCCAGCTAGTAACTCTTTCTGAAATTCAGGCATACCTATTCTCTCCTATATTACTGTAGCATTGGTTTTGTTCAAATGCAAAAACATAAACAGATCAGGACTACTATTTCAATTATCAACGTACAAACAATGACCTTTGTTCAAGTAAGGTGGGAGAAGTGTTGTGACAATAGCACCCTACAAACCTAGGTTTTCTGTGTCATATATCTCAGATTCTTTTCCAGTGTACACAATGACGTCAAGAACATACCTTGATTCACAATCGCACAAAACATAGGTCTTTATCCCAAACCTTTGGAGGTAATAAACTGTTTGAATGCTAATCTGCCTTTGAACAATAGAAGACTTCGTCAATACATAAGATCATTTATCTCTGGAGTTGCAACTAAATTAGAACGGTCAAGATCCCTGTCATCACTCATCCATCTGCCATCATCTGATAAGTCTTCACGGGGTCCTAGCTCCGAGCTGGGCAGTTCCAGGAGCCGTAACAGTTCGTCATCGGCCATTTCAATAACTGAGTAATCACCATCAACAAAAACAGACAATATTGCATGTAAAAACGAAAACATATAATAGAATAGATATAACAGAAACAAAGGTTTTGTATTATCAACACGAAGATGCAACGCTACAATAGCAACTACCAAGTGCGACCTTTGACATTTGATACTGCATAACACGTGGTGTAGACGTAGTTCCAGAAAGATACACTTGAGTGCAGCACCAAATGGTCTGTCAATTCTCAGGGTCAATGTACCATTGAAAAAAATTAGAAGAAGACTTATTTCAACAAAATAAATCAGCTGAGAACATCAAAACCGTCTAAACTCGGGCGTCGTGGATTAGAGGCATCGTAGCCACAAGGCTGTTGTTGTATGTGATATTTCAAGCGTTGCAATAGTGTGTACAGAATACTACCACAGAATAACACATGTGTCGCGGTTAAGGGATTAAAATCTATAGTTTTGCACATTAATTGTAACATCATAATGTACCTTATGCATTAAATTTTTTAAGTAAAAAAATACCATGATTACAGGAAATGATGGTGTCTGCCAGAGATGTAAACTTGTTCCAAGAGTTTCGTGAGTCAGTGAATCTTGTAGCTCTTGCAGCTGTTCAATCACACCTAGGTAAGATTGACTGACCTCATACAAGCTAATTTATCACAATTGTCTTGGATTGTTTATTAAGGTTTAAATTAAATCTAGTCAAATCTAATGTTACATTTATGACAAATCCTTTACATGACATTATTTTATTAATAGTTCCATATGAGCTAACTCAGGGTGTCCAGCTGACCTGGAAACTTGGAAAACCTGGAATTGTACATTGATATTTATGACCGGGAAGAAAAAAGCTGTCTAGTAGCTGGGAAGAACGGTAAAGTCAGGAATTAGTATTGAATATCAAAATGGTCTGGAAAATTTGGGATTTAGTCTTTATTTTAGGAATTTGATAGACCATGTAAAATCTAATCAAATATTCATGATTTTGCCACAATAATGATCACTTTTCCGTGACCGCGTGAGACAATGATGCTGTCTACATGGCCGCAGGAGGTTATTAGAATGTTGACGCGATCGAGGAAGATGAAGATTACGTTTTCTTGACCACGGGAGTTAATGAGTCAACATAGCTGCGGGAGTTAATCAGAATGTTGTCGTGATCGTGGAAGACGAGGATAATGTCTACTCGACCACGGGGGATGGTCAAGTTTTTCCGCGATCACGCAAGACGACGATGATGTTTACGTGATCACAGGAGTTGATTTTGACGTGTAGACTGCTGAAAGAGAAAATTCAAATTTTTTACAACGGAAGAGCACGATAATGTCTACACGACCGCAGGAGATTATAGGAATTTTTTGCGGGAGACGATGTTAATGCATAACCGGGAGAGATGTTCATGATTTGCCATGATCGCGGGAGACAATGGTGACTTCTACACGATTGCGGAAGATTATAAGAATTTAGCCGCGATCGCAGTAGACAATGATGATATATACAGGACCACGGGAGATGATGATGATGTCTATAGGACCTCGAGAGACGACAAAGATGACTAAAGATAATCAGAATTAAGCCGCTATTGCAGAAGACGATGATAATGTCCACATGACCGAGGGAGATATTTGTGATTTTGCCACAATCGCGGGAGTCGTTGATAACGTTTCCGTGACCGTGGTAGACAATGATGTATATTCAATATAAATATCAATATATCAATATATTCAGGATTTTACCATGACTGCAAAAGACAGTGATGATGTTTCCGAGATTTTGCAGTGATCCCAGAAGTCGACAATGATGTTTCCACTATCTTATCTAACAGGGGCAGGTCGAGACCTTAAAGCACTTCATCTGAAATCGAATTATTGCGTACCGATGTCTCCACTACCGCAGATTATCACGCTATTAGAGTACACTCCCGACTAACCAAGGTCGTTGGGACCGAGAGTACCTCGGTTACCAAGAACTACCCAGTGCTCGGATAACACGTAGGTCTCGTAGGTTTTGAGGTTAGGGTATCTACCTTATTATGAAGTCAAATACTAAGTAAAATATATCTTTAAACAACACACAGCAAATAAAGAATGATAAATTGTCAATTTCATCAAACTTTTTTCCCAAATAACATAGTATTGTTTTATTGAAGAAAAAAAAATACACAACAATCAAGTTCAAAATAACCAATGCTATTGAGCAAAAGCTTAGTTGCAATCTGGTCATCAGTCTTGATTCCTTTTATTTGCATGTAGTTTTAGAATCTTTCCAAATAATGTTTGAAGTATTTCTTTTTAGAGTCGTATGATTCAAAACTGGGTACAATCATAAAGCTACCTGTTTGTTCCTATCGTCCTCGATTCAAAACAGTATTTAGGACTTTTTCATTACTTGCTACAATGGTTTAAATTAAGGTCTTCAAATTGTTGAGGATTCATCTTGTGTATTTGAATAGTTGTGAGTAAAATGAGTATTTGAATTGAAACTGTAAATGATCATACTTGAAACTAACTGATAATCTTGTCGCCAAAACACTGTTGTGTCATGTTGAATAAAAGAATATTTTTCATGTAGTTGTCTTTTATTCACAATATTTACACACATAACAACAAATGTAAATAATAATGTAAATAATAAAAGCTCTCCGTACAGCCGCCATTTGTCTTTTTCACAAAACTATTTTTTATTTGTGGTGGTTTTGTAGTGAATTGAAATTTGGTACATCGATTAACAATCCTAAGACCTATTTTGAACAAAAAGTATTATTTCTCTTTAATATTTAGTTTTGAAACGGCGGTCATTTAACAATTTAAAAGTTAAATTACATAAAAACTACTTCAACTGTTGTAACATTTTATTCACACAAGCTTATTACAATTCTAACAATACCAAATTTATGAAAGTAACCTACATAAATAAGGAAGAAAACCTATTTTTAAGATACCGGGTTTCCAACAATTTCTGCAGCCATTGAAAAACATCACACCTAGTTAGCTAAAACAATCAGCTGCTTTAACTGTTAGTTACCCAATGAGTTTAAATATTTCTGTACATAGTATCTTAATGAGTTTTTTTCCTTTACCCATGAACCAATTTTTTTAAATTTTGGTATCGTTAGAATTGTAATGAAATTGTCTACATACAACATTGACACCATGGTTTTGTTTACCTCTATAGTTTTTAACTGAGTTAAATTTTAAACTACCGCCATTCTAAAACTATAAATTACTAGCTGGCCCGACAGACGTCGTCCTGTCCTTATGTGGTTTTATGTCAAATGCTCGTTCATTTTCAAGATGAGCTCGTTCGCATGGCTCAATCACGTCCTAGTTGAAGTTTGTTCGCTACGCTCACTCACCTTCAGGTTAGCTCGTTCGCTACGCTAACTCGCCTCCAGGTTTAATTTGTTCGTTACGCTCACTCACCTTTTGGTTGCAAATTAGCTGTTGTCATAAATTAAAAAAAAAAACAATAGTGCTGCACCCTGTTGGTAACCTATTAACTTTTTAATGCTGTTGAACATCACAGAATCAAATTGTTTAGTTGAACCAGCTGTTAAGATTCTTTAATTCCATTTAAATATGAGTACTCATAAGGTTAACATGGGAAACTCCAGAGCCACTGGGGCGGAGCCCTTTTGACGGATCTGTACCAAACTTCACACAAACCATCCTTGAATAATGCTTAATAATGCCTGAAAGTTTCATTACAATCTGTCAAGCGGTTTTAGAGTCCATAAAGGACAAACAAACATACATACATTGAATTTTATATATTATACTAGTGTATAATTGCAAAGAAGTAAAGTAGTTACAGTATTTAAAAGCAAATAACTTATTTAAATATGAATAAAAGTCATAATTTCCTATGAAAATACTCAACTCATAGATTACGTACCTAACAGTTCCATATAATCAACATTTCTTGTAAATATTTGATCATTTTTCAAAAGCTGATCTGGGTTTTTTAGTTTATTCTATAAATCTTTCCCACTTATAGCCGCATTAGGTTGTTCATGTTGATCTTTGTCAAAGATAATGTAGTCTGCATAGTACTACGCGTTGTCGCCAGTACATTTACAAATTTCAGTCATTTTTTATAGCGATAACATTTTGTTTACATTACTTAAGAACTGCCTGATATTCTGCATAACCTCTCTGTCACAATTTTATTTGCTTCAATTGGCATTAGTTTTGCTAGTTACTGTTATAACGTAAGTTGTATTTACCTGAAAAATGCAGAATTGAAAGGCCTAATGTTGTTCAGATGGTTTTTTGTTTCCCTTAAATGTGAATAATGCAAATCCTTCAGTGAAAGTTGTATTAAGGTTTCTTGGATGCAGTCATATTATTTTAAAATCACTTGACTTTTATGAAAACATATATTTAATGTCCTTGCCATACCAGTTCAATTCAGCCTTAGAGTGTTTTCCTTTGCCAATCATCATAAAGTTAAATCCGTGTTTCCTACAAAATAGTAACACTTTGGCTAATATCCTTGTTCATTGTTTCTGGGAATCTTCATATTGTATGTGTTCTTCATTATATAGGATGATAGGATGATAACGATAGTAAATTGATTTTTTTTTTAATCCCTATTTCTTGTACTCGGTAGCGCTCTATGACTTTCCTATGTTTCCATTATTAAAAAATCGGTTCTTTCAATGATTGCTCAAGAAATACAGTACCCTGTCAATTCCTTTTTCTTTTTTGGTAAAATATATAAAAACAAACTGTGCCTCCAGGCTTTCTCGATTTTTTATATTGTAATTTGTACGAATGTAAATTAAAGTTGTAAATATTTAATTTCAACAAAATCAGTAAATGTTGAAAAATAAATAACAGCAATTAAATTATATACAGCTGATCAAAATTTAAACAATTATGTTCATCATAAGGATAACATGGGAACTTTCAAAGCCACTGGGGCAGAGCCCAAGGGACTTTTTCCAAAATGTAAGGCCAGTTTGCAAATCTACGCGACACGCTCTTTCCAATGAGACGTCAATGGATAAAATTGGTTAAGGAATGGCGGAGGAGTTCAACCGACAAACTTCGTGTTCGCGTATTAATTATATAGATAGATAAAAAAATAATAACTTTTCTCTACTCAGAATTGTACCTGCGTTATTAATCTATGTAGGCCTAACAAATTTCAATTCACTAAAAAATAACAGTTAACAAATAAAAAATAGTTTTGTGAAAAAACAAAACGTGATACAATATGGGTAATTTTAGGCTTTTTGAAATGTTATACTTGATATTTTAGTTTGTCTTTGATCGGTAGAGAGTTCGGGGACACCCTGTATAATAGTTCTTCCTGTGTTCCAGAGCAGAGTACTGGGATGTTACATACTGACCCGAGGTTTGTCAAAGCAGGCTGCTGGCTTCTCACTAATCTCCTGGTGTCTGCAGTGGATGAGATGCTTCCATCTGTGTCCTCCAGTGGGCTGACAACAGCACTGTGCAGGTATGTCTCCAGATAACATACAATGTTTGCTATGGGAAAATGTGGCGTAACTCAAGGGTGCTAGCAGAGTTGTTAAAGTAGATTCTGTTTTGGCTGAAGTAGTGAATTATGATCAAATCACATTCATTTTTTTACAAAAATCTACTACGAGATTTTATAATCTAAAAAAATTAAGGATTAATCCACCAAAAGAAATTGATTTTACTACTGACATTGGCTAACTAACATTGGATTTTGATTAATTTACCCTATACTAATCTGCTTTGACTATCTTATACGATCTTGTGAATGAAATATTCTTACAATCATTTTAGCCTCTGGATTGTTTATATAAAAATATTTAATTGATTTTATAAGGCCTTACCCTAGCAATCCTATTTTATCGATCCGAAATTAATTTCAGACCCGAAGGTCCATCATCAGTCGGAGTACTAGGTTGCCCAAATTTTTATAGTTGAAGCCACCCGTTGGGTTTTGTAGAAAGTTTCATAACATTTCATTTAACACAATACAAGTCATAGTGGACACGATAATAGTAAAACAATTAGGGTTAAAAACCATGGTTTTCATAGTGTGGGATAACCTCACTTTAGTTAGGGAACACGTTGCCGGCAACTGTCAAAATCCGCTGACAGTATGAAATAAATGAATTTGCCAAATTTTATCAACATATATCCATAAACAAGTAAACTACAACAGCTTTTATTTTATCAATTAGAATAACATGAGAATTTTTAATTTACACTTTTTAAAAATTTTCTCTGTAATTGTTAGACATACAACACCGCGTCAATATACTAAATAATTTCTTTTTTAAGCTCTACAAAATGGTTTAGAAAGAAATTTCAAAATTTTATGTTTTTTAAAAAAAAAACGCAATAAACCCCAGTTTCTATGGTCCGATCATGCTGTTTTGCAAACTCGTTTGAATAAATGTAAGTTTACACTTATATACCAAATTTCATCAAAATCTGATCAATTTTGCTTGAGTTGTCGTACTAACGGACACACATATATATTATGAATTTGAATGGATAGTGTTTTTGGCCTCTGGGGACCTCAGAACAAAAAAGTAGGTCCTGGGTCCATGTCTTACCATGAGACCTACGGTAATAGCTTATTCCCTATGGGAAATTCGCTAAAACAAACTTTTTTGGGTTCAAGGGACCCAAAAAAGATACTTCCACCCAAAACTCAAATTTAAAATTTTGACAAAAACAATAGTTTCTCCATTAGCCTATTATATGGGGGAGAAAGTGAAAAAATGTATATATAACAACTGTAATAATCATAAACTTGTACAGAACTCTGCAGAGCATTGATAGACTAATGTCTCCGGAGATAGTGAGCTTGGCTGCAGCAGTGTGCAGACTTTTGTTTGTGTGCTGTGAAGCTGGCTGTGACATTGCGCAGCTACCTGACTGTGCAGCTGCAATAATGAGCTTCTTGGACCCTGACAGTTTTGATTTTGGTAAGAATTAATTTTCGTTGTTATTAGGTAAGTCTATCAAAATAAGCACAAGTCAATTAAAAGAGCTCAACATTTATTTGTTTTGGCGGTGTACAGTTTTATTCAATCGTTCCAGATCCTGCATAGTCTTCAGAGGAGGTTCAGTCACTGTGGCAGGAAACACTGAGGTTGCCGAGTCAATGTGTCACCATTGTATGGGTACATTTCTGTTCAATCATTCCAGATCCTGCAGAGTCTTCAGAGGAGGTCCAGTCACTGTGGCAGGAAACACTGAGGTTGCCGAGTCAATGTGTCACCATTGTCTGGGTACAGTTCTAATCAATCATTCCTGATCCTACAGAGTCTTCAGAGGAGGTGCAGTCACTGGGGCAGGACACACTGCGGTTGCCGAGTCAATGTGTCACCATTGTATGGGTACATTTCTGTTCAATCATTCCAGATCCTGCAGAGTCTTCAGAGGAGGTCCAGTCACTGTGGCAGGAAACACTGAGGTTGCCGAGTCAATGTGTCACCATTGTCTGGGTACAGTTCTAATCAATCATTCCTGATCCTACAGAGTCTTCAGAGGAGGTGCAGTCACTGGGGCAGGAAACACTGAGGTTGCCGAGTCAATGTGTCACCATTGTCTGGGTACAGTTCTAATCAATCATTCCTGATCCTACAGAGTCTTCAGAGGAGGTGCAGTCACTGGGGCAGGAAACACTGAGGTTGCCGAGTCAATGTGTCACCATTGTCTGGGTACAGTTCTAATCAATCATTCCTGATCCTACAGAGTCTTCAGAGGAGGTGCAGTCACTGGGGCAGGACACACTGAGGTTGCCGAGTCAATGTGTCACCATTGTATGGGTACATTTCTGTTCAATCATTCCAGATCCCGCAGAGTCTTCAGAGGAGGTCCAGTCACTGTGGCAGGAAACACTGAGGTTGCCGAGTCAATGTGTCACCATTGTCTGGGTACAGTTCTAATCAATCATTCCTGATCCTACAGAGTCTTCAGAGGAGGTGCAGTCACTGGGGCAGGACACACTGCGGTTGCCGAGTCAATGTGTCACCATTGTATGGGTACATTTCTGTTCAATCATTCCAGATCCTGCAGAGTCTTCAGAGGAGGTCCAGTCACTGTGGCAGGAAACACTGAGGTTGCCGAGTCAATGTGTCACCATTGTCTGGGTACAGTTCTAATCAATCATTCCTGATCCTACAGAGTCTTCAGAGGAGGTGCAGTCACTGGGGCAGGAAACACTGAGGTTGCCGAGTCAATGTGTCACCATTGTCTGGGTACAGTTCTAATCAATCATTCCTGATCCTACAGAGTCTTCAGAGGAGGTGCAGTCACTTTGGCAGGAGACACTGACGCTGCTGAGCTATGTGTTGGGCTTTATGGGTGCTGAGGTAATTCTCAACTCTGCCACTGTCATTGTTTCGCCATTCCAGATCCCGCAGAGTCTTCAGAGGAGGTCCAGTCACTTTGGCAGGAGACACTGACGCTGCTGAGCTATGTGTTGGGCTTTATGGGTGCTGAGGTAATTCTCAACTCTGCCACTGTCACTGTGCTGAGTCAATGTATTGCTATTGTCGACCCTCAGTGCACTTCTCTTCGACTTACCGCACTACAGGCTGTACCTGCTCTAGCCACATCTCTTACACCAAGTAAGTTAGTTTTTTTTGCTTTAAATTCAAATTTAATAATTCCATTTAAACCAGTGTTTAGCCAATTAGTAGTATTAATTCCAAAATCTTCATTTAACACTATTATAACTCTCATGCCAACAGATAAGGTATTTTTTTTTGTTTAGTATTTATGTAATGTAGTTTTATCTGATTGAGGCAGACAGAGATAGAGTTTTTAGTCTTACACTAGTGTCCCTGTTGCTCGAATTCGAGCAATTGCTAAGTATTACAGGTGTTATTTTAAACCTAATAAAATTCATAATTTCCCATGTAATCTAATGGAGAAATACAAAACTTTAAAGGGCCCCAGGGCCTCACTCCCTAATTATTTCCCTAAAAAGAAAGTTTCCTGCACAACTTCACGTTACGTTCTTTCCAATGACACCAAAATCTTTTGGTCTTTTGATTCTTTGGAAGAGGTGTAAAATGTACTAAGAAATTTTAATTGAGCCTGAGATAAACTTATGATTGATATGAATTGATGTTCACTTTGAAACTGAAAAGACAATAAATTTATTCTATGCTAATCCAATTATATTTTTCAATTCATTTCAATCATATTAAATTTCCTTTTTTTAGGTTGTGCAATAGTTGTATGTTGTATCCATCTTATAGTAAACATATAATTAATTTTGAAACGGATAAGAAATCAATGTTGAATCATATATGCTGCTCCATTGATTCATTTGTTCCTCCAGATTCAGAAGCTGTCCTGTGTGAGAGTCTGGTAGCCCAGTGGGACAGAGTGAAGGGCAAGGCTAGGCCAGCTCTGTTGGCAGCACTGACAGCTCTGTTAGGACACTCCAGTTTTGCCACTACAACAGCACTCTCTCTGGGACTTGTGGCCTCAGTCATCACCAGACTCAGAGAACTTCACCTCACACTCACCATACAGACCTCCTCTACTGACAAGCTCGCTAAGGTACACAAACATTAACATCATGTAAAACCAATTGGCAGTATTTAATGTTCAATGAGTTTGAGTCTTTGTCGACGATTAATTATGGGTTGGTTGTGTTTGGCTAGATGAGTTTAATGTGTTTTTTTGCTGTTTGTCCTACTATTGTCTAGCCCCTGAATATTTCAGAAGACACATATGGGAATCAGAAACTTCTTTACATTTCATATCGTTTGAATTTTTAACTAGTGCTCTGCGGTGTTTCGACTTAATCATGATTGTCTTCTGCGGCCATAGCAAAATTGAGACTATCTTCCATGGTCACAGCAACATCATCATCGTCTCATACGATTGCAGCTTTCATGAACATTATATGCGATCACGGCAAATAGACTTTTTTTATAACACATTTTTGCAGATGGTTTCTGTAATTACAAAAATAAAAGCTTGGCTCGGCTTGGCCCAACCCAAATTTGGCTAAAAAAATATTTTCCTGTCTTGAAATGCTCCCATAAGCCAATTATTGGCCCGACTCAAAAGTTTTGGGATCCAAAAAGCCATTCAATCGCATTAGAATAGGCTTGTTCTGGCAAAAGAAGTAGTAATTTTTGTAACTAGTGCGTGAAGTGGCACTTTGCACTCGCGTTACACATTATATTTGTCCTACAGTTACTATAAATCATATAAAAAAATTATTAGTCTTTCAATCACTTTACAACTCATTTTTAGGTTAGGTTAAATCCAAGCGTTGAATGAATTGGGAAACCATGCACCAGCTGATCGTCATCGTAGTATCTTTAAGTGTTACCAACTTATTGTCAAGTGTACACGTATTACTTGGCTAATAATAGCACACTGTTTTGTGTTGTATGGTTTAAATACTTAAGTGCGACAACAAAAATGAGTGCGGCCAAAGTAAGCAAATTCAGTGAGTCGTGACATTCGTCGGTGCGAGGTGCGAGGGTGTAGTTCAGCAGCAATTAGTTACTTGCTATAATCAGTGCAAGGAAGCCCACTTTGTAAGGTAGCTTTAGGAAAAAGTATTTTGTTGCATTCATTCATGCTGTAGGGATGGTCAAGTCTCGAAATTTCGGGAAATTTTCGGGAAATTTTAAATCTCGTTACACGAGACGAGATTTTTTTTTGGCCGAGATTTTTATCGAGACGAGAATTAAAAAAAAAAAAAAAAAAAAAAAAAATTAAAAACGCCTGCAGAAAGTCAATGCAATACCCGCAATACAGGAGCGTGTTGTAGTTGCGTTTCCTTTGTGAAGGCGTTCTTATTTAACTAATTCTTCAAATGTAAATATTACTTTAATTATTTTAATAATATTTGAGAAGTTTTATTAAGTGTTAGCAGTGCGAGGAATGTTTTATTACTATAAAAAAAGTCAAAACAAGTAACTATTTTATAAAAATTAATATTTTATTTTATGATTTATTTTATTTTAGGATATGGTCTAGTCTTCAGTTCTATCCTAACTGATATCACTATGTTTCCTCATCGTAGGCATTTTTAATAATTTAGGCGTGATTAATAAAAAAATGTTATGCTGATGTTTTTTAATAAAAGATTGTAAATATTCTTGCCTATTATCATTATTTTTCTATTTAAATAGTCATCTAACAATATTAAAAAATCAGGTAAAAATTCCGAACGTGCATTTCCCGTTGTGTATGAGAAGGGAAATCCCGTCTCGATCTCGTCTCGAAATTTTATGAGAAATAAAAAATCTCGTCTCGTCTCGTCTCGAACTCAAAATCCAATCTCGTCCATCCCTAGCTAAGTATTTTTTTGTTTATCCGTTCATACAACTTGATTAATATGTATATGAAGAACAACTTTTTAATTGTTTAATGTTATGTATGGAGTATATAAGCTTTGTTTTAATTTAATTTTGTACTGGAACCAACAATGTATGATTAATTCCCAGTATAAACTCCAACAATAATTAATGTATCTAACAGCCACTAATATCAAAGCACTAATATCAAACCATATTCAAACTTAAAAAAAACACTTAAATAACGATCATTAGTCCTCTAGTAAAAATATTTAGATAGCACTTGTAATACACGTCTCAATACAAATGAGTATTATTACACTGTAGAAAGACCCTCGGATGGGTGAGATGCTGCATCTAGTACAGCTGTTGTCAGCAGCGTTGTACCACAGTGGTGTAGCACGGCGTGAGGCTGCCACTCACGGTGCTGCAGACACTCTACACAAGCTGTGGGCCTGGTGTCATGCTGATGACAAGTATCTCATAGCTACACTCAACTGTCTCATCACCTTCACAGCTGACTGCCCCTTAGGTGAGTACACTATGCGTAGGGTGGTAGTTGGCAAGAAAACTACTGTTGTGTCCAAATACTAACATTATTGAAAAGATAATGACTTGTTCAAGTCTGTGAAACAGCTGGGTATTCATATAGACAGGAGCAAACTCTGTTGGGACGAACATGTACACAACTTGTGCAAAAAACTTGCTCGTTTTACCTGTCTTTTAAGAAAACTGAAAACTTGAATAAACTCTGATGTTATTGTGATGATGTGGAGTAGTATGAGTGTAAATGAAGATACCTGGGCCCTATATATCTTCCTCTAACCACTGCCAAATCACGCACATTTCCTGTCGTAACCCAACTCTATTGCAAGAATTAATCTAACTCGTCAAAGTGCACAATATTACCTTAGCTGCCTATCACAGCCAGCTTTTAAGTTCATAATGTATCTAATTATAATATAATGAACAGAGAAATATATATATATGGACTTATTCTAATTCGTGAAAAAGGTTACTAGACTTAGCAAATGTGAATTCAAAATTAGTGATAATAATTGCCAGACCACGACCTTTCGAGAACCTAATAAATTACATAATTGAATTACTATCTACCCTAACCTACACCCTTCCCCAACCCCTACTTCTATTAGCTAGACATCTTAGGCTACAGTTACTTATCCGGTTAAGTTGTACAGCTCCGGGCACTCGACACACACTACTGACTGGTCTCTTGGCTCGCTGCGCGTGCCTACCCGGGCCGACTGCGCGCGCATCCGCGTCACGTGACTTGCGCTATTGTAGCGACTCGCTACATCCTCCCCCCGGCGGGGTTGTTTTTTTTTTCTTTTCTTTTCTTGTTTTGGGGTGATTTTGGGTTTTGGGAAAGATGAAGGGCAAAGAATTTTTTTTTTTTTTTTTTTTTTATTTATTGTGCTCGCCGTGAGATTGTGTCGTTGTGACATCGGTGTCGGTGTGGAAATGTTCCAACAGTTTTCTGCACTCCTTTTGGTTTGGCTCATTTGAGGTTATAATGTGTGTCGGTTTTGCTTATAAACTATTAACTATTTTTTTTTCTAAACTAAAGGTAACTATGGTTTTGAATGAATTTCTTATAACTATGTTTGGTGGGATTGCCTAATCTAACCCTGCTCTAAAAAAATGTGGGCGGGCGTATATCAGTGATAGATTTCATTAAGTTGGGTTGAGAAGGATCTGTTTGCTGATGAAACTGGATATATGGCTGATGATGATGAATTTGGGAATGTTGTCGAAATACTGAAGGTTGATGAAATTCGATGGATGTACTGAAGTTTGGTAATTGCTGGTAAATATGGAAGGTTGCTGAAGTTTGATGAGTTTCTTGAAGTTGAGTAGTTGGAAGAATGAAGCTGTGTAATTGAAGAATGAAGCTGGAGCAATGTTTTGAAGTTCTTGAAGGTATACTGTTGTGATGTGATGTGACGTAGTTTCGTAATTAGCTCTTGAGCCCTTACTAAGTTCGGGGCGCTAATTATATCGCTGGTCGTCTCTTACTGTTGAATAAATGATGTTGAGTTTTGAAGTTGATATGCGGTTGATGATACGTTGACTCAGATGTGAATTTGGAGATTGTTTGTTTGATGTTTAATTATTTTGGTCTTTGTTATCACTGATATATTCCCTAGATATTCGGTAAAAATTCATCGCGACTACTCTACTTAATTTTACTATTGATACTTATGATCTAAATGAATTTACTAACAATAAGAAATTGTTCTACCTAATAAAAAGAAATTTAATTTACTGAGGATAAAAGGGAAAAAATCTAATGTTTATCTACTTAAATGCTATGGATTTGATTGACTGGGAGATATATTACTAAATTTCTGTTGATTTACTAATAATTAATTAATTAACTAGTGTGACACACATTATACACTCTTTCAGTTTGGATGCTATTCGTGGTTGAATGGAGTTTCGAAAGTCTGTTGGTTGATGTAAGGAATGATAGTGTTATTGTAAGTGTACATTCATTCGAAGCTCCTCTAGTGCCAATTGTCAACAATTATGCACAGAGGTATTAAATAATAATTATTTATTCCACCGACGGCTTAGCACAACTTTATTTTTTTTAAACAAATATTGTTTTAATATGTTCCTTCAATGTGAAGGATTGATCGGTGCTTGGTTTGATTATTTATATAGGGCGGAAGTAGAGGTATGAATGGAACAGATGTTTGTACTGATAACGACGGTGTTATCTCGTGCCTGGCGCTTGCTATTGTCTGTTCCCTACTAGTCCATTTCTTCTCTGTCACTCAGCAACATAAATATATTTATATATTTTTTGTATTTTATTTTAACGCATGCAAAAGTGTATAACACATAATAAACATTTAAATTACCCTTTAAAAATATAGTACACAAACTCTTCTTCTACGCTCAGAATTCTGCTTGATATTTACAAACATATGGATTGTAGTGTGCGCTGTTATCTACTTTGATAACGATTGTATTACGCCTAAATACCATATATCTTATTTTAATATACATGGATGACTTTGCTTACTTAATACTTTTTATGCTATCTCGTATTTATCTTTGTGACTCAATTGTTTACATTAACACTTAAATACTTAATTTTACTTAATTCTACTTAGTTCTACTTAGTTCCACTTAGTCCCACTTAGCCTAATTACCATAGTTTAAAGTCTAGCTTGGTCTGTAGTCAGTTGTCTCGTTCATGTGCTGTCATTTTTCAGTCCAGTACTGTTAGTGAGTGTTTGTTGTCATAAGTAAGCTGTCGGCTGCACTATTCATATGACAGTTGCAATCTGTCATAAGAATGTGTTATGGCGAACGATTCCCGTCATAGCCAATTTGAGCAAATTAAAAATAAAAAATTACTTAAAAAAAATTAGTCGTTTGCTCAGATTGTAGGTTTTAAGGGGATTGAAAAGGTTGTTGATTACGGGGGTCTTGAAATGCATACATTAAGTACAAACACTATGACGTGTTTCGCTGCCAACTTGCCATGTGTTGTCGCTTCCGGCTTTCCGGCCAAGCGGTGCGTCGAGAGGTGTAGCCGCACCCTCTGTGAAAGTACGGCTTAGACTCAACTCCCAACACCCTATCAGCCGGGGCCGGAGTTGTATTGTGTACAGTATTGTTGTGAAGTATTGTTGTAGTCAGTCAAGTTACTCGAGATTTCTTGCTAGATGTTTTACTTATAACTAATTAAACTAGGCTAAGGTTCTATTGTGCACTTTGACGACGTTTTTTTTTAATAAATTGGCTGAAAAAATCGTTTCAATTGTGAAATGTGGGCTTTTGTCACAATCTTACCTGTTGAGGGATTTACTAGTTTTACTGACACTGGTGATGAGAAACTGTCAATCACGCACGGTTTTGACCAGGCGTATTGGAGTTTATAATTGACGTTGTCTATTGCTTTGGACTGTGGGTGCATTTTATACATTACCCAATCGCCTACTTTGTAAGGATTGGGTTGACGACCGCTGTTATAGTATTGTGTGCGTTTTTCTCTTGCCTTCCGTAGGTTATCAAGTGCATGTTGCCAGCGATTGTCTGTGGTTGGTTGAGATTCTTCCCCAATTAATTTATTTAAATCCCAGGCTAGTTGTAGTGGATGGTTAATTTCTCTCCCCAAAAATAAGCTTGCAGGTGTCGAACCGGTGCTTTCATGTTGAGCGGAGTTAAATGCTATTTGAAACCAATGAATGTTTTGATCCCATGTTTGGTTGTCAGAATTGTGATATATCCTCATAGCAACTTTAAGATTTTTATTGACTCTCTCTACGTTGTTTGCGCTTGGGTTGTACGGTGACGTAAATATGTGTTTGATTCCGAAGTTTAAACACATTTCCTTCATTTGTTTCGATTTGAAAGATGGTGCGTTGTCTGATACTAAGTATTGCGGGAAACCGTAGTGTGAGAATATGTGTTTTGTGAGAAGTGTAGTTGTGGTGGCAGCTGTCGCGTTTCTAGCTGGTAAAAGAATTACAAACTTTGAAAATGCGTCTACCACAGATAGTAGGTATGAGTTGCCTGACTTTGTCCTAGGAAGTTTGCCTACGTAGTCAATGTACACTTTTTGGAATGGTTTGGTTGCTAGATCGGATGATAATTCGCCTACCCTGGTGTTCGGAGCTTGTTTGGATCTTTGGCAAGAGAGACATGTTCTGACTTTGTCGGCTATTATTTTGTTTAAATTTGGTGACCAAAAAAATTGATTTATTTTATGTATAGTTTTCTTGATTCCTAGGTGTGCTGATGTAGGTGCTAAATGGTAGTATGTAAAAATCATGTCAATTAGTTTCGTGGGGAGTACTATTCGTGGTGTCTTTTGGCCGGGTGCTAAATGCATTAACACTCCGTCCTTTACTGTATATGCCTGGTTTCTATGTGGGTCCCTAATAATTTTGATCAACGCGGGGTCGTCTCTTTGATGTTCGTCGATGTTTTTGAAAGCCTCTGGGATTCTCATCAAAATGTTTACTGAATGTGTGTTAGTGTCTTCGTTTAGTGTTACTACTGTTGGTTGTGTGTCGGCGTCCTCGTATAGCCTAGATAGACAGTCGGCGACTGGATTATCACTGCCTTTTATGTGCTCTGAGTGAAATTGGAAAGAGTTAATGAATGTTATCCATCGCGCAATTTTACCTACTTGTCGTGGATGATTTAGAAGCCAAGTTAATGCTGAACAATCTGTTTGAAGTGTAAACTCCCTGTGTTCGAGGTATTGTTGGAATTTTGTCAATCCGAACACTACTGCTAGGCATTCTAATTCGACTGTGGATTTGTTTACTTCGTGTTTGCTCAGTGGTCTCGACGCGTAGGCTATTGGTAATAAACTACCTTCGTGTTCCTGTGCTAATTGCGCTCCTAGTCTTGTGCCTGAACCATCTGTTTGTAGGATGAATTTTTTATTGAAATCTGGGAGTCTCAAAACTGGTTGTGACGTTAGAGCCTTTTTAATTCTTTGCAATGCGGCTTCCTGTTCAGAGCCCCATTCAAATGGTGTATCTTTGCGTTTGAGTTTGTTTAATGGTGCCGAAATGTGTGAAAAATTTGGTATGAACCTCGCGTAATACGCTGTCATCCCGATTAGCCTAGAAATCTGTTTGACATTTTTGGGGGTTGGGAAGTTAAGAATTGGTTTAATTTTTTGTGTGTCAAATGTAACTGTGCCGTTGCGAAAAATGTGGCCTAGGAATTCGATGTGATTAGATGCTACAGTCATTTTTTCTGGGTTGATCGTGAGACCTGCGTTTTGTAATCTAGTTATTACTTCCTTTATTTGATTGAGATGGTCTGAAAATGACCCATTTGAATAAATTACCAAGTCGTCGAAAAAATTGAAAATGTATTTGTATTTTATGTCTCCAAATATTTTATCTATTAACCTTGTCAAAACCTGTGATCCTGTGGCTAATCCAAATGGTACCACGTTGAACTCAAATTCCCCAAATGGGACGACGAATGCTGTGTATTTTTTGCTTTGTTCTGTCAACGGTATTTGCATGTATGCGCTGTTCAAATCCAATAATGTATACCACTTCGCTTGACCTAGATACTGAAATGCTGATTCGACGGTTGGCATTGGCGTAGACTCTAAATTAATCAAGTCGTTGAGCTTTTTGTAATTGACTACAAATCGCGTTTTGTTTCCTTTTTTTGGGACTACAAATCCTGGACTACTGTATTCGGAGGATGATGGTCTTATCACGCCCTTTTGTAATAGGTCGTCGATTTGTTTTCGTAATGCTTCGAGCTTTGGCGGTGCGAATTGGTATGGCCTACTCCTTACAACCTGCTGAGATTTTAATTTTATGTCGTAGTGTATCAATTTTGTTTGCCCTAATCTTTTCGATACTGTGTTTGGAAATGACTGTAATAATTTGTGTATTTGTTGTATCTGGTTTGGTGTCAAATTATCGCCCAAGGTGTAAGTTTTGTCTTCTTGTAGATTACTATCGTGTTGGTCTGTGTGTAATATGGCCATGACCGGTCTTGTACCGTATGGAAATGTTACATTGTGATTCGCCACGTCTATGATTGCTTTTGTTTTTGTGAGGAAATCTAACCCTAATACAATGTTTATTGGCAGTTTAGGTGCTATTAGGAAATTGAATGTCCAAGAGAAGTGTCTAATTTTAAAGTGTAGCTTTGCCATGTGTGAGAACATTACCTTGTCGCCTGAGGCTGAAATAGCGAATTGATTGATCGGAGTGATTGATTTTGTAATTAAGTGATTATTTTTGATTCTATCAAAAAAGGATCGTGAGCAAATTGACGTCGTAGAACCTGTATCTATGAGTGCATTTGTTTCAATGTCGCCGAAAAAAATTGGTATTGTACATGTTTTTAATTTAGGAAATTTTGGAGCATTTTTGTTTTTATGGCTATGTGTGTGTGTGTTTTGGTTGATTGGTGTGTGTGAATAGGCGCTGTGAGGTGTCGGAGGTGCGAGAGCGCCAATTATCGGCCTCCTCTGGAGTTTAACTGTGTATTGTGTGTAGGTGTGTGTTGGTCTGTAGGGTTGGTGGGCGGACGGTAGTGTCTGGGGTCATTGACCTGCCTCGGTGCGCCGTGATATGCACTGCTGTGCACTGGTGCCCTATAGTATGTATTTGGCTGCGTGTGTGGTCGATGTGGAAATCTTGGTTGCCCATGTGGCTGTTGCATGTATTGTGGTGTGTATTGCCTATGTTGAGGTGTAAATTGCCTATTTTGAGGTGTGAATTGCCTATTTTGAGGTGTGAATTGCCTATTTTGAGGTGTGAATTGCCTATTATTTTCTGCTCTGGTTTCCCATCGGCGTGATTGCGAGTTGCTACCCTCTTCTAACTGTCTCACAACTTCTAATTTTGGGATAAGCGCTACTAAATCATCAAGTTTGGTCGGCGGCGGGAACCCTGCAAGACGTGCCCTGTTTGTCGCGTTTATACCTGTCAATATTACCTCCAGTAAGTCGTATTCTGTTGGTATTAGGATTTCTGCTGACTCTTTCACCTGGATAATGAAATCTGAAAGTGACTCGAATTGACCCTGCACCCTATAAACTGTTTGCGTCAGGAGCTGTTGCTTTGCCCTTTCTGGCAGAAAGGTACTAATTATAGTAGGAATTGTTTTACCTTTGACTTCCCAGCTCTCCTGCAATGCCATGGTCCAAATATCCCTTAATTGCCCTGCTGTTTTGTGTAACAATGCTATTGTGATTGATTTGTCGTCGGCTAACTTTAATTTCTCAATTTGAATGGCCGTTTTCAAGAAGGCTAACAATTTGCTTGTGTCAGTGCCGTCGCAATTGGGAGCTTTCGACGCTAGATCGTCAACTAATCTCGGGTTTGTGTGGGTGTGTGTTGATTGTGTTACAGGTTTGTTTTGTGATAAGGCTTGAGCGATTGAATTGCCTATGGCTTGGGCTGTGATTCTAATCATTTCCGCCGTCTGATCCGCTAAGATGGGTGTGTTTTGTTCTGTGGGTTTTGGTGTGTCTGGTACACTTGGCACCTGTGTTGTCACCGCGTTCTTTAAAATGACCCTATTCTCTTCCAGTGTCTTGGCTGGGGTTAAGCCCCACTTCTCGCACTGTAGAATTGCGCTTTGCGCATCAAATTCTCGTATCCATGATACCCCCGTGGGTTTTGTTTCCCACTCGTAAATCTTGGACATCTTGCCTTGATCTACTCTTATTTGAATAGTAAACAAAAATTCAATCCTTAACAACTTCTTTAATATCAACTATTTGACCAAACAGGTGGGAAGAGTTTGGGCTGGGCAAATTGTAATTTAATAAGAAAAAGAGAGAAATTATTTAAAAAATGGTGTGAATTTGGACTTATGATTGTATTTTACTGTAATTGGTGTGTCAAATGTTTGACTAAGATCTGATTCCCTATATTGTTCAAATGTATGTCATCCCTACGATTTGAATGCCTATATGTGTGTAAATAATATGTATTTGAATTTAATACATGTGTTAGGAAAATTGGTTGGGTATTTTGATTTGACAATGTGTGTAAAAATGTGTTGAATTGAGTAATTTTCTCTATTGTGGGTGGTGTATATTCTGACCTAGGGAAATATGGTAATCCTAACAGTATCAACCTGGTGCCTAGATAACGCTTCCTGATTACCCTGAGCAATGATACATATTGCTGTGTCATCATTGTTATTGATGTATTGCTGAATATGTCATTGGTTCCTATCCATAACAATAATGGTATTTCACTGTTGAAATATGGATTTGTGATTTTGATTTGTTTCTTTAATTGTCCAATTGTTGCGCCTGAAATTCCCATACTGTATTCTAATTTTAATTTACTACCTTCTCGGTTAACAAAATATTCCAGACGTTTAGTCAGCGAATCGCCGAGTATTTGAATTTGTATCATATTACGGTATCAAGGTGGTCGAAAGAGTGTAGCAGGGTAATGGCATGTCGGTATGTCGGAATTCTTTTGTTTGGTTGTAGTGTCGGACCTGCATGTTCAAGGTCGCTGCGAGTGAATGAAACTTTGTGAACTGTAAAATATAAAACTGTAATGCATTTTATGTCTGACATCTATTGCTGTACTGATTGTTGTGTTATTGTTGTACGAAATTACATGAAATTTTATGTAAGATAATAATTCGTTGATGTGAACAATGAATTGACCTTGTGATTTTGGCTTGATTCAGAAGGAATCAACATTGTCAATTAACGGCCTAAATCAACTGAAATGTTGTGAAGTGACGATTTACTCAAGCAAATGTTGTACACAGGCTCTTGGCTTTCTTTTAATTATGTAGTACATTTTTTTTTTTACATTTATTATTATTATATATTTTTTTTTACGTTTTAAATGTTTTTCTGTTTTTATATTTATTTTATATATTTATTTGTATTTTTGTTTAAGATGAGCCTGTAATAACTGTGTGTAATGTATATTTAGATCGTGTATGTTTGCTTGGAAATAACAAATCTGGCCTTAAATCGTCGCTTTATCTTTGAACTTCTGTTATCTAACATTCCAGTTATCTTCTAAGTCTGTCTGGCCTATTAATGACATGGACTCTCAACTTTCACTAGCCA